TGTCTGTTGACTACTGCCTCCCAACAGAATGAAAACCACAAGGACAGAAATTTTTGTTCATTTTCTTCACTGATGTATTCCAAGCATGCAGAACAATGCCTGGCACATAAGTACTCAATAAATATATTTTTTTTAATGCATGAATGAACACTTGAAACTGGATTTAAATTGTGGGCCAGAGAGAGAGTTGAGGTCGACAGGAAAAAAACTCAAATGGCCCAGGTACACCTAGGGTCTCAATTATGCTCCGAGACAATTAGCTACTTAAAAAGGCTGTATTATTTCTTTCAGATCTGCAGGTGGATTATGTAATGCAAACACTGGTGACTTTACCATAATACCAGCTCCTACTAGAAAAAAGCACCGAGGACAGATAAAAGGCATGGCCCACAATTTTTGTCTTTGCCACTTGGTGACTCTACACTACTCTCCTGTCTTTAGCCAGCTTCGTAAGTCAGAGGGGTGACTTGCAAACACCCCACAATTTAGGAATTGGAGAGAGCAAGTCCATCAGGGCTAATGCCACTTTTGGAATGCCTGATTTACTCCCATGGATTAGGCACAGACTCTTACAAGTTAGAACTAGATGACAATCATTTATGTCCGTAGTTTCAGCCACGGCTGCAGATCTGAATTCCCAAGGCACTTACAGTAAACTACAGTTGCGCACCCCCCCACCGCCTTTCCGAGAGAAACACTCCGGGTGAGGCACAGGTAAAGGTGTTCCAGGTGACTGGAATGGGTAGCCACATCGGGGAGCAATGAATGGAGCTCAACTCCATTTTCCAGATTACAAATGAATCCCAGGCAAAATGAGATCCAAGGTCACAGAGCTTGGTGACAGTGTTAGGACTGGAAACTGTTGCTTGATTCTTTAGAGAAACAGCAGTAAAGGAGAAATTCCACTACAACATAATAAAGTGTAAGGCCATGTATTACAGTAGTTAAATGCTATTCTTTTTATTAAAATCATGGCATCTGTGTTCACGAATGAGAAATTTTCTTTACTGGCCCCTATCTTGAAGGGCTTGGGTTGGAGTTTGTTATGGTAGCCTTGGAATGAATTAGGTATACTACACTCTAAGATCTTGTGTAAACATTTATTCCTTCATTAAAATAACTGGATGAACTTCCAGTAAAAAAAAAAAAAAAAAAAAAAAAAAAAAGAAGAAGAAAAAAGAATACCTCTAATATCTTTCTTTGTCAACCAACTTATTGATTTAAACAGTTTTCTGGTTTAAAAACCCTACAGTAGTCATGGCTGCAGAACAATGTGAACGTACTTACTGCCTGCCTCTGAACTGTACATATAAAATGGTTAACATAGGAAATTTTATGCTACATATATTTAGCCACCAGTTTTTAAAAGCAAGAGAAAGACAAAAGAAGAAAAAGAGAAAAGAGAAAGGAGTGGGGGTGTAAGAGAAAAAGATCTAGAGGAGGAGATCCCCCAAAACCAAATTTAACCCCTGTGAGCACCTGCTGGCAGACATTCACGAAAAGCCTGGTGGGAGGAAGGAGCAGTTCCCTGGGTCCCCAGACCACCAGCAAAGCAAAGTCCTGCAAAGAGCACGGGAAGTAGGTCACTCTGGAGGAGTAACATGACCCAACCCATACACACACAGTGCTCAGTCTCTAATCTAAGATGTGGGGCTATACAAGGATGTCCTTGACACTGCCTAAGACCTGGGCTCTATTTCCACATCCAGGGCTCCTCCTAGAGAGATGATAGTTAAGTCTCCTTCACACCACACAGTTCAGGATCCTCTTAAACATGGAATTAAGCTACTGGTAGTATTTCGGCTTTTTGTGAATTGTAAAATCAGCGTACCAACACTGAAGAGAAAAGGTTAGAGATGCTCAGGGCAGAGTCATGAAATCTCTACAGTATGCCTCCTTGCTCTGCAATTCTCTTAAGAATATTGTTTGGTGTCTAAAACAGGTAGAACAGCCTTTTTTCAGAAAACACCTTTGACCATAATTCCAAAGTAATAAAGTGTATTCAGTCCCGCCTCTAAATGTATAGCTATAAATGTAAATTACAAGGCAGTACTTCCTGAATGTATGAACTGACGGGGTCGGGTGGGGGGGCAGATTTTCCAAACAGTGATTGAAGCCAAGTAAGCGTCTTTGAAAATAGTTCTCATAAATTTAACAAGCACCACTGAATATAATTTTATTCCAAATTGATTCAGTTTATGTACCATACCTTTAACATATTTTTATAGTGAAGATCGTGTACAGCAATGCTGATGATAAATGCTCAAGAAGGATTTGCTCAATGAAGGAATGAGAAGGACGAAGCCTCATTCTGAGTTTGTTTCGGTAACAGGGAGATGACAACATAGGCTAAAATCTAAATCTAGCAGGGCATTATTTTAATCACTACTGTAAAAGAGTAACATCTATCTTTGCAACTCAATGTGACAGATACATCAGATTCCCCCTAGAAAGAGTAAAGTGGGGGAGAAGAAGGATAGAAGGGGAGAAAAGGGGGAGGAGTAGCTTACTATACCAGAAGGAGATTCTCCAGAATGACATGGGTCAGGTCAGATCTCAGGCAAGCAAAAGGGCCCCAATCTCACTTAACACTCAAGTGCCAACCAAAAACTGAAATGAAGTATTCGACTTGTATAAAGCTGATTTTCCACTTGACTCTTATCTCAGGGGACATTGGGTAAGCTCATTGTAAATAGGCTTTTTCTCATTCCTTTCTGTAGTGTTTCACCTACCATGGCGTACTTGTTGAGACAACCAAGTGCTACATGACAGAAAAATACCACACAATTAGCAATTCCTAAAGGACTATGTTATGGGTTGAACTGTACCCTCCACTGAATTCACAGGTAGAAGTTCTAACTCCCAGTACCTCAGCATGTTACCTTAATGTTACCTTATTTGTGTGTATAATTAGTTAAGATGAAATCACACTGGAGTAGGCCCTTAATTCAGTATGACTACTGTCCTTATTTTATTTTTAAGATTTTATGTATTTGCCAGAGAGAGAGTACAAGCAGAGGGAATGGCAGGCAGAGTAGGCAGAGGGAAAACCAGGTTCCCCACTGAGCAAGGACGCAGATGTAGGACCTAATCACAGGACCTGAGCCGAAGGCAGCTGCTTAACCAACTGAGCCACACAGGTGTCCCGGTATGACTATCATCCTCATGCAAAAAAGAAATGTGAACATAGGCACATGGGGAGAAGGCTGTGCGAGGACGGGAGGTATGCATGCTATCACAAGCCAAAGAACTGGCAGCAGCCAGAAGCAAGAACAGAACAGATCTCTCCCGGGCACCTTCAGAGGAAGCATGGCTCTGCAGACACCTTGGTTTCACATACCTGGCTTCTAGAGCTCGGAGACAGTAACCACCTGCCGTTCTACGCTCCCGGCGTGCTGTACTTCTCTATGGCAGCCTCATTAAACTGATACCAACAGTCAGGGGCCAACGTGCACCAACCAGCCCACGCCCTTCTCGCTGCATCTCAGCTCTGGCTTCCCGCCCCATGGCCACTTGCCACCGTATCAGCCCAGGCCCCACGACCTCACTCTCGGGCTGCCGCCTGGTGTCCCTGACTTCAGGTCTACCTCCACCTGCTCCAACTGCCAACCTCACATGCACGCCACCATGACGTTAACCTCTGAAAGATGCCAACTTCTTTGCATCACTCTCTGGGTAAAATAGTGCTAGTGACTCACCAATTCCTATCAGGAAAATTCCAGATGCTCTCGCCCAGCCTTCAGGCCTCCCTCTTCTAAGCTAGCTCCAACTGCTAAGTGACCCTTTAACACACCACCATTATTCTTCATGCCATGCTTCCTCCCCTGCTTGGCACTCTCCCCCTTCAACTACCCAAATCTTGACCATCCCATGAACACTACGGCCAAGACTTGCTTTCACCTTGATGCACTCTCTGTATACTCATTCCCACAACAACGGCCACATACCTGACCTCTATGTGTTTACTACTTGTATCTGTCATTCTGCACTCATCAAAGACTCCCTTGCATGGTTACATAGCATGTTAAAGGTGCACACTTCGATTCCATAGCTGGACCATGAGTTCCTTAGGGACAGGGTTCATGTTTTACAATTTTGGGGGTATTTCTCAAACCCAAAGACAATGCTAGGCTTTCTTTTTTTTTTTTTTTTTTTAAGATTTTATTTATTTCAGAGAAAGAGAGGCAGAAAGTGCAAGCATGAATGGGGTGGGGGAAAGGGGCAGAGGGAGAAGCAGACTCCTCGCTGAGTAAAGCACCCAACGCAGGGCTCAATCCCAGGAACCCAGGATCATGACCCGAGCCAAAGGCAGATGCTTAAATGACTGAGCCAGGTCCCCCATGACAATGCTAGGCTTATTATAAGCAAGCTCTAAGTTCCTAAATTCTTATCGAATTAACTATTAAACAAACATTATAAATTCTTAGAAATGTTACTTTTGGCTTTTTTTAAAAGATTTTATTTATTTATTTGACAGACAAAGATCACAAGTAGGCAGGGGTGCCTGGGTGGCTCAGTGGGTTAAAGCCTCTGCCTTCGGCTCAGGTCATGGTCTCAGGGTCCTGGGATCGAGCCGCACATCGGGCTCTCTGCTCAGTGGAGAACCTGCTTCCTCCTCTCTCTCTCTGCCTGCCTCTCTGACTACTTGTAATCTCTATCAAATAAATAAATAAAATCTTTAAAAAAAAAAAAAAAAGATCACAAGTAGGCAGAGACGCAGGCAGAGAGAGAGGGGAAAGCAGGCTCCCCACCGACCAGAGAGCCTGATGTGGGGCTTGATCCCAGGACCCCGGGATCATGATCTGAGCTGAAGGCAGAGGCTTTAACCCACTGAGCCACGCAGGCACCCCTTTTGGCTCTTTCTTTAGCTGGGAACTTAAAATTGAACAAATCTATAGATTTTATATGAGCCAAATGGTTCCACATATACACAAATAATTTAAAACCTACAAGGAAAAGGAGAAAAAAAACCCTCAGGTTTTTAGTCCTAAGTTACTTACCATTCTTCATCACCACATTGGACCACACGTTCGCATTCAAGGCTTGAACAATTCGCTTTACTCCTGTAGATTCTGGGAAGTCATCTAATCAGGAGGAGAAACAGATATATTTATACACGTATTTAAACACACACACACGTGTGTGTGTGTGTGTATCACCCAAACCATACTTTTAAATAACTGTGGCTTAGTTATCTTGTTTAGTTGGTACTTAACATTGTAACTTACCTAGTAAGGAAAACAATACAGAGCTTAGAGCTCTTGATAAGAATATCCTAGAAACTAAAACAATGATATAAATGCACTTTATAAAAGGTTTCTATGATAAAGTCATCTGTATCACCTCACCAATGGAATCTACTCATATTTTCCTGAAAATGTGAGTTCCTGTTAATTATACAATCCTGGCAAAGCTTTGGAAACACCAATTTTGGCTATTTAAGGAGAATGAGTTTCCTGAAGGCAGGGATGGTCCTCTTGGTATGCCACAAAATGCTGTAAATGCCCCTACCTTCTCCTGGGAATCACAGAGTAACAATTATTATTTATAGTAGATATTCAGAGAACAATTACCTGATTGGAGAAAGAGAGTTTAAGAGAAGTAAAATGACTATAACCATAAATGTAGGAGACAGGCAAGGATCATTAAAAATAAAAACCGACAACTTAGTTTAGCTGGGTTAGTATTGGTACTATTTTGCTTCTGGAATTTAGCTGATACTACTCAAAATAACAGGGCAGTAATCCCAGTTAGCATACTAACAAGGTGATATTCTCAGCTTGCAGATATGTGTATGATGGAAATGAGTGTTATAAGACTGGATACGGTAAATGACGGCAGAAGTAGTTTCCATGTGCCTGAGGAAGAAAGTCTCCTAAGAGCCTATGGAGTACAATCCACATAGAACCCGTGTCTAGTGGCCTGGCCGGGCATGGAATTAGAAGTCAGAAAATCTGATCTGGAACTCAGGCTTTTTTTTTTTTTTTTTTTTTTTATTTATCTGACAGAGAGAGCGTGAATAAGCAGGGGGAGCAGCAGAGGGAGAGGTAGAACTCAGGCTCCATAATTTGTTAGCTATTTGATCAAGGGCAAATCATGTACGCTATTCTCAAAGAAAAGTGGGGCTGATGCCACTCTGCACACACCTCTCCCAGAAGAAAGAGGCACTGGAAGTGACAATTCACCCCTGTAAACCCCCCTCTAGGCGGGGCTCACCACCCAACACAGTGCCTGAAGGACAGCAGGCGCTCCATAAGGACTGAGGGCTGGATGAGTCATCCGAAGAACAGCAACCTACCATCCTAACAGAAACAATGGCAAGGATTAAACTGAAAATACAAAGTGAACTTTCTCACCTCGATGTTTAAATAAAGAAATAAAAGGCATGTTTACCTGAACTATGAGTGATTCAGTTCTTAAAAGGATAACTAACACTTCAGATGACAGAAACCAAAAATACGGTCTGAACGAAAGAGCTAGAACCAGTAAGATGAAATCTAGTCCAGACAAGCAGGAAGTCTCATGCTGGTGTTAGGATACACACATACAAAGCTTATGGTTTATTTTTAAAAATTCTAGGGAGGATTTCATTACTTCATCTAAAGATCTGTCAAAATCTATTTCAATATTAAGCGATATTAATGCAAGAACATTGTTCAGACGAGGAGCAAGGAGATGTATGGTGGTATAAGGGAGAAGAAATTACAAAATAAAAACAGATTTAAAGATTTTTTAATTTTTATTTAACAGAGATCACAAGTAGGCAGAGAGGCAGGCTGAGAGAGAGAGAGGAAGCAGGCTCCCCGCCGAGCAGAGAGCCCGATGTGGGGCTCGATCCCAGGACCCTGGGATCATGACCTGAGCCAAAGGCAGAGGCTTAACCCACTGAGCCACCCAGGCGCCCCTAAAAACAGATTTAAATAAACGACTCAAATGTGGACTCTGAAGGACAACGGGATGAAGAGAAAATTCTAGTGTCAGAAATAAGCAATTATGTACATGCTCACATACACAAAACAAGGCCCAAGTTTAGGGGACCTGTAAGACATGGGAAGAGAAATTGTACTTGTTAATTTTCAATTATTATTAAAAATGTAGAGGGAGAAAAATCAACCTTTTTATCCTATTCTTCTCTGGAAGGGCTTTATTCCCAAAGGTAAAATTCTGGAAAAATTCTAAATAAGGCAGAATATAAAAAGAGATTTCTTAATTCCCTTTAAAATAGGTTTCGTAGAATGATTACTTATATCCTGTCTATGTACTTTAATTCATATTGGCTGTCTCTTAGAATGTCTTTTGCAACAACTGGCATCTTAACGCCACGTCCCTACTGGTCCCCTCACTACGAGCCCTGTGCCTTTCTCATTTCTTCCCCATGGAGCAAGTGACATGTGAAAGTTCATGATGCCACGACAGTCTTGGAATTTCTAAACAGAAATAATCTCTCGCATCTCTGAAATACCACAGGACCCATATATTTTTAAATACTTATGACATTCCATTGGGCAATTCAATTGTTCATGTATGTGTTTATCTCCTGTACTGGACTATAAGGTTTTGGTGGCCCAAAACCTGTCTTCTCTTGGCAGGTCCCGCCACAGGTAGATGCTGAAGGAGAGAAGGTGAGAAGAATAGTGAAGGAAGGGAAGAGAAAGGGGGAAGAAACGGAAGGTCCAAAGTATCACAGAAGGCAGTTAAGTGGAGAGCTACCCTGGGGTTGGCGCTGGGGGCATTCTGAGTCTGTTTTTAGTCTTACATGTCTAAAGGACATAAAAACAGGGCCAACATGCCCCCTACGGTTCCTGGGAATTCAGCCTCAGGATGTGAGAAATTCAAAATAAGGAACATAAATTTTAACTATTTAGTGCATGGGTCAAATCCTCTTTTTTTTGGCAGAGGACAAAGGATAAGAGACTCAGGAAATGACTAAGATTTAAGGTAGAAATCCTCTACATTTATCTATAAGAATAACAGTATTTGAAAAATCCTAACATGTGTGGTAAAGCAAAAAATATGGATTATTTGGTTAATAGTAAGACCACACCAGTGGGTTGTGCACAAATCTCTTTAAACAGCTGAGGAAAAATGTTTTTTGAATTTCACTTTGACTCTTCTTCCCTGCATTAAAATACTCCCTCACATCTCCAAAGCCATGTTTCTCCTGACACATAAATACTTACCATCCTCCTCAGGCAACTCTTCTGGACTAAGTTCTACCAATTCAAAGCCATGCTTGATACACCATTCTTGAGCTTTTTGTCGGTTTACACCTAATGTGCAGAAGAATCTTCATTAGTAAAATTTTTTAAAACAGCATATCACTGCAACGCTTCCATTAATCTCAGTGTTACCCTCAGTGTTATCCTAAAGGCATCCAAAATAAAGAAAATGATTTCTCAAACCCGAACTGTCCATTCTTAAAAAAATAAAATGTAAATATTGCAAGATTCCAAAGAGAAATAGCTAAAAATACTTTGTAAAGTAATATAATCACAGGAGATGTACTGTTCTAAGATAAGAAAACAAAAGTATATTCTGTTTACCAAGGGACAGCAATTATATGAACCAACCATGGTCCCATTGGCATGCCTTACCATTTTCACACACTCTGTCACAAACCAGGATCATGACTTCAGGTAACCATGCTTCTGCCAGTGGAAGCCATGAGGAGACACTATCAAGACCAGACTTCTAGAGGGAGGAAAAACAAACATACAAACAACCAGAAGAAGAGACAGTAAGAGAACTCATGGAAAAGGTGTGGTGGGGGGGCTGGGGAGGGGCGGGATAAAGAAAGCACCAAATAATTTCTCACTCAAGGTCCCTGGCAAACCAAATCTTACTTGTGTGCTGTCAAAGTACACCACAAATGCTTGGACAGACTCCGCGATCTCTGCAGTGATGAGAAATTTGTTCGGCACCACGCACAGATTGATATCTGCTGAGTAGTATTTATTATCAATGGTCCAGGGATAAAACCTCACAGCATCGGCAGCTGCTTCCACAACAAGATCTTCTGTTCCAAGGATATCTAAACAAAGGACACAATGTTACCATGGGAAGTGCAACACCGATACACACTGATCAAGTCTCTCAAAAAGATACCAGATTGGGGCGCCTGGGTGGCTCAGCCGGTTGGGCGTCTGACTCTCGGTTTCAGCTCAGGTCATGATCTCATGGGTCGTGGGGTCAAATCCCACGTCAGGCTCCACACTCAGCAAGGAGTCTGCCTGAAGTTTCTTTCCCTCTGCCCCCACTTGCTCGCTCTCCCTCACTCTCTCAAATGAACGGGTAAATCTTGAAAAACAAAAACCAAAAAAAAGGTACCAGATTAATATGGTACCTTTGCCTACTCCTCTTTGTGTACGGATTTCAAAAGCCCCCCCATTTATCAGGGCATTTTCTTCTCTAGCATTTGATTATAAAAGTAACGATGACATAATTTAACTCGTTGGCTTTTATTCTCTAAGAGCACAAAAACGATTGTGACTAGGTTAGACAGAAGACAAAATAGTCATGTAACCACACACCCAGAAAAGAGCAAGTAGAAGAGGAAGAATAACAGCTTACATTTATTTTATTGCTTATGGACTTCATGTGAGATGGAAGGTTACAAGAATCTTCAACAATCTATAACTATCTGTGCTTATTGCAAGCTACAAGGAAGGTAGCAGTAAGGCTAAGCCATTAATAAAAGCTAAACATCTTCCTTGGGCCAAATGCTTACACATTAATTCAACTAATGATATAAAAGAAAGGATATTGATAAATGACCCCAATTCCATTTATAGTCAGCCTTGTTCAGATTCTTTGAAAGCCAACTCCAATTTTTGTTTGATAAAGATACTTTTGGCATAATTTAAATACAAAATAGCCAAGCACATTTAATTATTTAGAATATACCTAAATCTTTCAGAAACCCCTGTGCAACATGGCTAGAACTAACGAAATTCTTGTAGTAAAAGCTAAGTCAATGAAGAACAAATAGAGATGAAGTCCCAGAGCCACCAAAGCAGTCTGCTTCCATAATGCCATAAAATATTCACAAGAGGAAAACATTAGAAATTGTTCTATCCTAAACTCCCATCTCTCACATCCATACCCACAGCCTCTGTCTTATACAGAGGTGGAAAGTAAGCTTAGAGAAGTAAAATAACACGCCAATGAAACTGGGTTATTATAAGAATATATGGCAAAATGGCCACACACTCCTTTTCGATGTAAATGAAGATGAACATGGGAAATATCCCTCAAACTCACAATTAGCAGGGCCCAGAAAACTAGGAGCTAAACTTTCAGTTCCAGAGCTAAGATTACATATGTGGACCACTGCCATAGTTTTTGCTCAACAAAAAGATAGAGGAAAATTGTTTAGTCCGAAAAACTGCTGGGAATAATGTATAATAACATATAAAATGTGTGTGTGACATATGCATGCTTTTCATTGGTAAACTTTCGTCATGTGGTTACTAGGAGGAACAAGTCTGAAAACAAAACCCCTTTTTTAAATTAAAATAGGAAACTAAATTTAAAATAGATGTAAGACTGCATTTGACATATGGTACATTGTGAAACTAACTTTCTAAAATTTTTCACCACAACCAGAATTGTTGCTTTTTAAAATTATCATGAGGTCTGAGCCAATATTTGAAACTCTGAATTTATCTTGTCTCTTTAAGAAATCAGCAGTTGTTGCTGCTTAATTTCTACCTGGAGTAATCTTTTAACTAATTATCAATCAACAGCAACCAGCTGCGATGTCCTTCACGGAGCCTTATGACCAGTTCAGGTAGGAAATAAGCAGGAGGAACAGATAAAGTATGACAATCAAAGACTGTTTTCATGTAAATGTCTCACAGGAAAAACAACAACAACAACAACAACAACAACCCTCCTAGATCAAAGTCTATGCTGCATTCAAAGCTAATCTTCGAAACTTCAAGCAGGTGGCACAGCAATATGCCGATAAAAGCACATATGGAAGAAGGCAAACTAAACCAAGGGAAGTAGCAAAAAATGTATAAGCTGATTTTTTTTTTTAAGGGTAGGAGGAGCCACCATATGGAATCAGTTTTCTTCATTCCTGGGTAATTTTTTAAAACAACGAATTAACTTTTTTTTTTTTTTAAAGTGGGCAAACACAAAGGGTAAAATTTGTTAAGGGGCAAGGTACAAGGAGTGTGGGACGAGGATTCCTACCATCGTCACAACCGGTTCATGATATTTCCTAAACTGGTAGTATCGCCAAAAACTGGAAGAAAATTTCAGTTATGCTTTTTTGAAATCACTGTCTTCAACTAACATGAAAAAATAAAGTCAATGAAGCGGTCACCTACTTACTAGCTGCAATTTAGGATATCTGGGTCCATTAAGGGTGGTTCATCTTAATAATCAGTGCATAAACTACAACACAACAAACTGAAGTGTGTTATTCAGAGCTCTTAAAATTTCAATTTTATACTGTCTGATTTTCAAATGAGAAAGATATTTCCTGAACACACAGAAAGAAACAATTTCTCTTTTCTCTAAACCTAGATGAGAACAGAACTCTAAGTTGGGAAAACAAACTTCACCTTTTGGTGTTTTCATAGCTCTGTGTGTGTGTGTGTGTGTGTGTGTGTGTGTGTTTTCATACTCCTTGTGCTGCTTAGAATAACTTGATAGCTCAATTTACTTATCAGATTCTTTTATTTTTAACATTTTATGTCTAATCAGACACTTTCAGCGAGGCTGCATATGGACTTTATTATCACATCTGTGCCATCTCACAACTAGAGAAGAGTGAACGGTCTCATTCTTCTTGTCATCAATATCATAATGTAGAGTTTAATTTAAAAAATGTAAATGTCTACATTAAATATAGCTTTTCTCGCTCATCTTTTTTATTTGGTTTCAAGCGTCTAACACGTTTATTCTTTTCCAAATTAAAACAAAAATTGCTCAAATGCTCATGCACATGACTAAGAGTTTCTGGAGATCAGCCAGTATCATTTACTCATTTCACAGATGGGAAAACTGAGGGCCAAAAAAAAAAAGAAGCCACTTGCCTAAAGGAGAAGGACGTAAAATGAAATTCAGGTCACCAGTTTTATTTCTTCCTACTACACTACAGCATGTGATGTTTAGAATCTGAGCTAGATCACGTTCAAGCGTCCAGTGGTCACAAGCCAAAACTAACCTATGGGCCTACAGTTTCCCCTGCTCTTTTAGAAAAACTAAAAATAACAGCCAGAACTAGGGCACCAGAATATACGAGCCCAAAACACAAGTAACTCATTCAAAAACTCTGCCTGGGTTTGGGGTTTTTCTGTGTCCGAAATTGAGTCACAGCGATTGTGTGGGGGTTTTCTGCCAGACTTCCTAGAAAGCCCTACAGTGTTCTTTCCCCCTTCTTTGCCCTTCCCTAGGCTGACTTTTGATGCAGTCAAAATGATGCACAAATAAAATCAAGAGCAGCTTCTCCCTCCTCCTTGCGGGTGTTGGCCTGTCTCATTCAAACTGTTGGCAGCCACCTGGTGGGGCTGTAATACATCATTTTTGAAGAGACAAATACTAGATGATTAATTGCCAGTCTGTTACCACAGACTTGGTCTCACAGCTTAAAATAGTTAATCTGTAGTGTTTTCAGATGAGAAGTTAAATGTCAACCCAGTTCCAGTAGCAAGTATAAACCTTTCCCGGGTTCTAAGTGCAAGTATAAATCTTTTTCCCTGTTTGAGAAACTGTTAGACAGCCGGCAATAATCCAGCAATTCCTATTTACTTCTCAATTCTTCCATGAGCTTATTTCCCTGATAGTCCCACATGGCAAGTGAGTGACAAGAACGATTCAAGAGAGCTGAAGAGAGCTGCACGCCAGGGAAGCATGTCAGCTCAGCAACCCAACCACTCCTCTGTCCTCAGGCTCCCTCCGTGCTTCCTCTGTCTGTCATTACGCTGCTACCCTCAAAGAGGGTAAAACCGGCAAGCAATCACAGAGGAGGAGGCAGCTAGCTTTCTTTAGTTCAGAGTCAGAAAGAGGTGATATTCTCTGTATCATTAATTAGGAAAGCAAACCTAAGTTCCAAGGTGAATTCCCAGAACCCCGAAAATATCCATTTTCTCTCTCTCTCTCTCACACACACACATATACACACACTACCCTTACCCTACCCCCTCACCTATCCACTCTAGTGCAAAAAAGGCAAAAAAAAAAAAAAAAAAAGTCCCTTCTATTGTGCTGTGCATATGTAGGCTCCACGGACCCAAGCTGGGGCTTGAACTCACAACTCAGATCAAGATCTGATCTCACAACAAAGATCGAGAGATGACCGCTTCACCAACGGAGGCGGCCCAGGTGCCCCCAAAACAAATCTATTCTAAACTAAGTGCACTGATACTACTTTGGCTTATTCCTATCTTCCTCGGTCGTAGAATTAAGGACACTTTTGATTCCAGCTGAATTAATGTTCCCCTAACTAATCAAGTCATTCTTTGTGAAGAGAAGTTGTCTAGTGGTTAAATCATATTTTCTATGCCCAGAGGGAAATGGTAGCTGCCACTCCGAATCAAGATGATCCTTCTGGAGACCAGTACTCACCTGGTTTTATCCTTCCTCATGGAACTGAAACTGACCTTACAGCGAGATATCATGACCTCCCACCCCACGCACAAGTGTCCTTCACAGGATCCACTCTTCTGGGGACCAAAGGTTCCTCTCCCCCGACTCTGTGCTGGTGGTACTAACCGCAACAGAGAAAGCCATCAAACAGAGACAGCTCAGACCTGGGATCAGACAGACCTGCATCTGAACGCTGGCCCTCTGTGAGAAGGACAAACTAACCTTTGTGTGTCTCATTTCCTCAGTGGAAAAAGTGGACACACACACACACACCCCTCAAATGGCTTCTTGCAACTTAAATGAAACAGTGCATGAGAAGGCACAGGCAGGCACTGGACACAGAGTGGCCCTCAGGAACGCTCCTTTCCTCCTCCCCAGGTCAAGTTTTTGCCTATGGGCCGGAGGCTAGGTCAGAGATGCACTGAGAGGAGC